TCATCCATCCCCCACACAAGCTCCGCCCCCAGCTCTGAGCTGAGCCCCAACGGCCACAAAGATGACTCAGAGGCAGGCCCTGCCTGGGCGGAGCTCCCTGGCTGGAGGAGACAATGACAAATAGTGTAGTTGGTGCTGAGGCTGTGGGCCCAGAGGCACTCCCCACCCAGCCTGGCTTCAGGGAGGGCTTCCTGGAGGAGGCAGCATTTGAGCTGAATCTTTTTAAAAAAATGTTTTTTCTTTAATGCTTTATTTTTGAGAGAGAGACAGACAGACAGACAGAGAGAATGAGCAGGGGAGGGGCAGAGACAGAGGGAGACACAGAATCCAAAGCAGGCTCCAGGCTCCGAGCTGTCAGCACAGAGCCCGATGCGGGGCTAGAACCCACGGACCGCAAGATCATGACCTGAGCCGAAGTCGGACGCTTAGCTGACTGAGCCACCCAGGAGTCCCTTGAGCTGAGTCTCAATGTCAAATTGGGGTTTACTTGTCCTAAACGCTCTGCTGACTTCCGTGATTTCTTTCCCGCCTTCACGCGGTCCCCGTACAGGTGCGTGAGCTTTCCCTGCAGAGGGCCGGCTTCCTGTGCGTTTATCTGCAACTTAATCTCTCGCGTCAGTGGTCTAGAAACTGCCACGCTTGTTCGTTCAGGCCATGCGCACTGAGTCTGGGGGGTGCTGGAGAGCATGGGCGGGGGGGGCCCGGGGCACACGGGGAGCCCTGGGCCAGCTTCCTGGGGCTGCGTGGGGACACCTCTGCCCCCAGAGAGTGACCCACCCTCAGAGCGTGGCCTGCCTCTCTGCAGGTGTTCGAGGAGGAGCACCACGTCCTCTACCTGGACCACGGCGGCGTGATCGCAGCCATCAAGGACACCTCCATCCCCTTGAAGATCCTCAAGTAATGCCATGGGGGCCCAGCTCGGGGAGGGGGTATTGCAGGGTGGGTGGGGTTCCTCCAGCTGGGAGCTGCTCCCGGCTGGGCCTGGGGACACAAAGAAACCGGGAATGGCAGCACAGTAGGGTCCACAGCAGGGGTGGGGGGCAGAGGAAGACTTGGGGCTTAGGGGCCCGGAGGAGGCCCCCATCCCGGCCTGGGGGAGCAAGGAGGGCTTCCCAGTGGAGGTGACTTTGAAGCATCAACAAGAGTTAGTCCCGTGGAGGAGGCAGGGCCAGGCAAGGAAGCCGGCAGCATGTGTCCAGGTGAGAACAGGTTTGGATGGGCTTCTGACGTCTAAGGGGCAGTTGTGGAGAAAGGAGGGCAGCTGTGAACTCTGGACTCGGCAGGCAGAGAAGGCAGAGAAGGCAGAGCTGGGGGAGCTGCTCGGAAGCCAGTATCACTTTAGTCTGAAAAACAGTTTTCTGCATTGCAAGCCGGTGGCACCGTGATATGATGAGTTGGGAGGCGGTACGCCCCTGTCCCTGGCCTGGCAACGCCTGGGCTGGGCTCAGGCACCAGGGGCCGGGGTGGGGGCTGACCTGGACGCTCCAAGCCCAGACGACTGCAATCCAGGGGCTGAAAAGCAGCTGCAGTGTACCCAGGAGGCGCGCCCAGAACGCCTTAGCTGCAGTGTTACTAAGGAGATGCGGGTGCTGCTTGGTGCCGGCGGGCGGCCGCTGTGCCCCCGGGAAGGGGTGCAGGCGCGGCCCGGACCTCTTCTCCCGGCCCCCTCGGCTGGGCAGCACCGGCCCCTGGGCTCGGGCAGGGCTGGATCCGGCAGGGCAGCTGGGCCTGGCCCCGGGGAGCGCTCCCGCCCGCCCGCCCGCCCGCGGGGGTGACGCCTCTTGTCCCGGCAGGTTCAGTGTGGACGAGGGCCTCACCTGGAGCACGCACAACTTCACCAGCACCTCCGTGTTTGTGGACGGGCTCCTGAGCGAGCCGGGGGACGAGACGCTGGTCATGACGTGAGTGCCCACGGCAGGGGGCGGGCGGGTCCCAGCCGGCCCCCGGGGGACCTTG